TGTGTGTGTGTGTGTGTGTGTGTGTGTGTGTGTGTGTGTGTGTGTGTGTGTTTGTGTGTGTGTAAAAGTGTGTTTATTTCTTTTTTATATACGTGTACATGTAATTAGATCCAAGGGCTAGTATTTTTATGACTTTGATGAACAGCCAGTAAAATATATTAGCACTTTGTGTTATGTAATCTACAAACAACTTTTCGTTTGCTATTGAGAACATCTATTTTGTGCATTGAGACTTTTACTAACACACTTCTGGAGGACTGTTCGTCTGCTTTCTCTTGTTTATGTGCCATGTTAGTGTTCTGCTTACTCTCTAGGTCTTTTGCCACTTTCCGAATTGACTGATTGACTGTTGTCCAGTGCGGCAGTAGAAGTTGCTTTTATCTTGTCACTTTGGAAAGTCTACGATCATAAAAATGCTGTTGAGCAATGCATCTATATAAATCGTGAAAAAAGTGAATATTGGTCTCTTGGAGAAACCAGGGTGATATTGTTGTTCTGGTCATTTAGCTCTGCATACGACTAGTATCTGCATTATTTGGTCTGCGAATCACGGCCGTGATTTTTGCATTTTCCACAAACAAACAAAGAACCCACCGCGGGGAAATATTTTTTTACGAATAAAAAAAGCAAAACGGGGTAATGAAAATGGAAAAAAAGAAAAGAAACCGAACCTCTTTACTTTTAGAAAGAAAGTTTATTTTCACTTCCTCTCCACTTCCTCTCTTTCTCACTTGTTGAAACTACGTAAACGTTGATTTGTTATTTGCATGAAGAAAAGAAGTACATTACCTAATACTACTTAGGCTTCTATTGCTGTTTCTCTTGTATTTTCCCTCTTTGCTGTTTATAATTTACTAGTGTGTTAATTTTGTTTCTTGTTTATGTTCTGATATGTTGTTTTTTTCTATATTTTTTTTTGTGTTTGTATAGCGCAATTATGCCTTTTGATTTGATGTTGTTCCTATCTTTTTAAATATAAATAAACATGTTATGCTAGAGCGTGTCTCCACCAAAACCGAATACTGACACTGGCAGGCCCTTTGTGTGGGATTCCATAATTTACATGTAATATCCTGTACTTTTTCTTGAATTACACAATCTTCGGATAGGTGACCACACGTCCTTATTTGTTAAATTTTGCTTTTGTTTATGTGCTGTTCTAATTATGATTTCATTCCGATGTGAAACCATTATTGTTCACGTTTTTACACTCTGTGCGGCTTCAAATGAGATTCTGAATGCTTAAAACTCTCTCTCTCTCTCTCTCTCTCTCTCTCTCTCTCTCTCTCTCTCTCTCTCTCTCAAGAAATTCTAGTGTTTTAGATTAATTTGCCCCTATAAACATAATAATGCGTTGTCACAGAGAGTTCAAAGCTTGAAAACTGGTGACAACTTTTATCGCAACTTTTGCCATTTTTTGGTTCCTACTTATGGCAACTTTTGGGCACACAAAAATAGCAACAAAGTCATATTTCATATGCTAGATAAGAAGAGAGAATCAATACAGTTGGATTGAAATTCTATATGAACTTAATCAGAACAAGGTCTGTAGACCGGGGGAGGGTGGAGAGTGGAGGCGTAACCACTGCCCATGGGTCCGCATCTTCCCTTACTGAATAGAAACATAATTCATTTTGATATTTATACTTCTTACATAGTCGCTCATGATGACAGGTGTCAATTAATGCCAGCTGTTACCTTCGTCTTCTCCCATTGGACCCTGAAGTTCTTGGGTTCGTCCCGGAAGATGTTTTGATTGAAGTCATACGATCACGTGACCTCGACGAGAAGATGGTGAACGACTCCAAACACACCATCGATGGTTGGTATGAGGTGGGTTTGAATCAGGTTTATATATCTGTTTTAATTGTTGCATTTTATTGGAGGGGGAGTGTTTGTGTTTTTTGTGTTTGTTTTTTGTTGTTATTTTTTTGTTCATTTGAATTTTCGTTTTTAGTCTGTCTATCTGTCTGTTTTTGTTTTTGTGAGTGTTTTACGGCGCTCGCAACTGCATGAGGTCATATGAGCGTGCGGGACAAATTAAACATTTTCAGTTGGTAGGAAATTTTGAATTTGCCCGGGGGCCGGGTGAAGCCCACAGTAATCGATTTTAATAATAATAATAATAATAGATAGCATTTGTATAGCGCATATCCCCGCTCAACAGCAGGCTCTATGCGCTTTACACTATATTATTACCCCAGCAGACCATAGAGCACTCCGAAACATTCTCAGCTTCCCGGGAAACATACAGTGCGAGCAGCCGATTAAGCGCTCAAACACTAACAAACTGACAAGATCTTTCGCTGTCTATAGCCGGGTACCCATTCCCACCTGGGTGAAGTGAGGAAAATAAGTGTAAAGTGCCTTTCCCAAGGACACAAATGGATCTTTTTCGTGCACAACTTGCTCACGGGCCCTTCTAGATGTTTTGCCCTTGTCCGAGAAAGCTAGGTGTAGATCTTTCCTACCAGAAGATCAGGGGTGTGGCTGAAAGTGAAAGACAGCTGTAAGAACGAGCCAAGGAGTAGCAGTAGAAAAGCTGCAGAAAGAGTCAGAAGCCCAGAGGAGGGAGCAAAGAAGGTGAGGGGGTGGGAGCAGAAAGAGGAGACGAAAGCAGACGACAGAACAATGCGATAGAGCAGCAAAGGAGGTGAAAGAAGACCATTTTAGAGAAGAAAATGTTTCGGTCACTACCCGGATTCGAACCCAGGACCTTTGAATGAGAGGCCAACACCTTAACCTCTAGGCCACGAGAGCCCCTCTGTCAGTCTGTTTTGGGCTTTTTTCTGTTTGTTTGTCTGTAAGACTAAAACGTCTCAGTATTCGCAGTGTACGAGTCCGGATATCCCGGATTTGGCCCCATGTCAGAATACGAGATTACAAGTAGATTCTAGAAGTAGTAGGAGTAAAATAAGTAAATGTTAATACCCCCCCCACCCCCCGGTCCTTTCTTTCTCAAAATAAGTTGAAAGCGTCTCTCGTAAATGACGTCACAAACGATCTAAATGTGACCCCACAGAAAGCGGAAGCCAAGGAAGTGTCTAGTAGGTCAATTAATAGGCTGATGACTTGCATTTACTTTTACCAGAAAAATAAATTCACGGAGCAGCGAAGAAAAATGTAAAGCTCAGATTGGAACCCCAGAACCTCACATAGTGACCTATTATGTATGCCTCTGGACCACGGTGGACCGTTTAGTGGGTGGTTGGCGGGTGGTCTGGCGCGGTTCGCTCCTTCTTTCCTATCAAACAAATGTTGTCATATCTCTCCTCCTTTTTCGTTACTCTCTTGTAACACCTCAAATCTTCAACATTTATTTGACTTCATTGTGTTGCATTTGCCGTAAAACTCTTACCAAAACCAAAACTGTACATAGTTTCTTGGTTTCTAGTGTGTCAGCAAGACAGGGATGGCAACTGTGAAAGAGGCCTGAGTAGATAAGTGTTAAAAATGTACTTTCTCTTGAAAACGAAAAAAAAAATCTTCTTTTATCTAACTTTGTTTGAAAAACAGGAAAGTCCGGTCGATTGTGTGTGTTACGGTAAACGTTCAAAATGTAATCTTTCCTGAAAAACTTTAATACCTAGACCATACTACAGAAATGTCCATCAAATCTTCATGCGAAATAGATCTAGTATGATACAGTTGGGACCGGCCATGATTTCTTTGTTTTGTCTTGTTTTGTTTTTGTCTTGTTTTGTTTTTGTCTTGTTTTGCTTTTTGTTTGCTTTTTCGGTTTGGGTTTTTTTTTTTCAGGGAAAAAGAGGGAGGTGGGTACAAAAGCCACCGTTCTGGCACAATTTGACAGAATCCATCCAAATCAGGCTTGCTTGATTTCCTATGTCTTCATCTGAAGCGTTTGACGAACGATGCCAATCTGAAGGCCACTACTAATTGTGTGGTCAGAACTTCTGCTTGTGTGCGGACTGCTTTGAGTGTTATAATTTGATGTATATAGTAGTAGTACTAGGAGGAGGAGGAGGAGGAGGAGGAGAAGGAGGAAGTGGAGGAGGAGTAGGAGTAGCAGTTGCAGTAGTAGTAGTAGTAGTAGTACTAGTAGTAGTAGTAGTAGTAGTAGTAGTAGTAGTAGTAGTAGTAGTAGTAGTAGTAGTAGTAGTAGCATCAGCATCAGCAGCAGCAGCAGCAGCAGCAGCTGCTGTCGCAGCAGTATTAAATCATTGCCATTGAATCTGAATACTTCTGTTATTTGCCTTAATAGAATATTCCTTGTAGTATAGTTTTAGTAATAGTTTTACGACACATGTAGCACAACAAGGTCATAAAAGTGCCGAAGTTTAGAGTTGTTACAAGAGACTTAAAAACTTTAAAAAGATAAAGAAGGTGGAGGAGGAGGAGGAGGAGGAGGAGGAGGAGGAGGAGAGACAAAAACGATATATACTCGTATATCTGATAGGATGATAGGAAAGAATTAGCAATTAATACATCAAAGCACCTGCCCTCCACCCACTGCTCGGTCTTTGTTTCAGGTAGAGTTAGACAACTGTGAGCAAGTGGTTCATGGGAGGAAGATTGTCCAGATGCCGGACGGGACATACGTGCCTTGTGATGGTGACACAGACGGCGGACGATGGACAGTCATACAGGTTTTGGTTACGGTTAATTATTGTCGACCACCTGTTCAAAATTATATTTTTTATATTGTGTTATATGGTTATGTAATATGTTGTAGTTGTACGAATTTCAATTTTTTTTTTTAAATACATGGTTATGTATGTGACTATGTGGAACTAAGCTAAACTAGGTTGTTGTTTGTTTGGGTTGTTGTTTTTTTGTGATACAAAAAAAAAATAAGCCAAAAAAATTCTTGTTAAAAAATCGTATTATGAGTTTATATATTTGGAACCAAGCCCAAAATTCTATAGTGTAAAATATGTAGTTAATACAGGCAGCTGTTTAATATTTGATTTTAGGCTGCATGTGTTCGAGAATTAGTATGTAAAAATTCCAATTCTAAATGTTCAAAAAAGCAAGGAAAGTTACATAAAGTAGGTACACATGTTAAAAGAAGGAATCTGGTTTTTCCTCTAATATTGCTTACTGGTCTTAGGACATTTTAGCAGCTTACTGACTATAATACTCGCTTATCTGTCTTTGGCTTTGGGTACAAGGAAAAGCTAAGTGTTGGTTTTGTTTCAACTTTCTCCATGTCCTTGTGTTTAGTTTAGTTTTAGGAAGGGAGAGGGGATGTTGGCTATCATATTTGAGGTGGGGAAGGGAAAAGAGAAGAGAATTGGTGAGGGAGAGGGGCGGGAGGGGCAGGGGCTGAAGTTAAAGATTAGGAAGGCAAGTAGTATGTCATTCTAGACTCATCGGCTGTATCGAAAGGCAATGAAATCACCGATTGGACTCCAATCCCAAAGCAGGATAGCAGTTATTTTTGTCCAACCATAAAATAGGTCGAAACTGTCTCACTTGCTGGGTACAACTTACTTACTTACTTAATATACTTTTAGAGGGGATTTATCGCCGTTTTTTCTTCCTGTTTTAAAAGTATTAGATTTGTCCAGGTTCCGTTCGTGCCCATCTGTAAATACACGTGCTATCCTTGCACACACACACACACACACACACACACACACACACACACACACACACACAC